GGAGGGAGGGAGGGAGGAAGGGTGAGTTTAGCATTGCCCCTGGAGTGAGGATGTGCCCAACAAACGGTAATTGTTAATATCCATCATTATTCTCCCAAACGGCCAAGGAGAAAGTGTTTCTGCTCAGTTGTGGCCATGGAGGGTGTGAATCCAAGGGGGGCTGTGTTTACAGGGCCCTGCAGTGTAACAGTGTGCAGTAGACTTCAGCTGAATGGTGTGATGGGAATCCGTCTCCCTGGGAGCCGTCTAGAGGCAAGTGAAGAGAAGGAAGAGTAAAAGGTATCCACCAGCCAGGACCTGGTGCTTCTAACTGAAGGAGAAGCTAATAAGTCTTATCCTTCACATCTCGTAACACTTAAGTGAGGACTAATGTGGTTGAGAGAATCTTGGTAACTTTCTCCTAAACAGAAAGAAGGCCTATGCACTTCATTTTCTTACTCTGATTTTATAAGCACGTGTGCTGTAAATCAGCCCCAAAAACTTAAAAAACTTTCTAAATAATGAGGGTCTGTAAGAATTCTGAAAGTTGTCTGCCTACATCTGTACCCTCCTTCCCATCCTCACTCATGATTCACAGCATCCTAATTTTTGTCTCTTTTTATTACCAATCTAAATTTTAAGCCCAAAGCCTGTCTCTGAAACACTTAAGCAATTGAGAGCATGTTTGTTTTTTTTCTGAAATTGCCTGGAAGAAACTGGCTGACTTAAAATAGGAAACATTAAGAAATGACTTGAAAGTCCAAATAATTGCCTAACTTCATATTTTATTTAATCATTTTCAGTACTCAGCAAATGCATCAGCCTTAGATGGATTCAATTTGGAGTTAGAAACTCAAGTTTTCCCCCTTTCAATAGGAATTTAGAGTTGATTTGCTGGCAGTTGGCCAGAATAAAAAGAAAGAGTCGAATGAATCAGCAGGCAAGTCCCCCATTCTGGGTTCAGTTTATTTGATGGTCAACATTTTCCTCTTTTTCTTATTGTTTCTTGGAAGAGATTCTCCCCTGGATCTCTGAATCATCTAGAGAAATGAACTGGCCATGAATCACGTGCACACAAATCATCCTACACCCAGGGTCCCTTGGCCAGTATACCCAAAGCACTCAGCTCTCTGCCCTGGATGAGACTCGCAGTAGGTGAGCCTGGGAAGACACCGTACCCCAGGCTGGGGGCCTTGTGACCCCATGGCAGTCGGTGAGGGAGCCAGATGCCAGGGACCTGCAGTACAGTGGGGCACCTGGCAGGTTTCCTCACTCCTCAGGGGGTTTCCTGGTCTTTTAAAACAATACACATATAGATTATACATATATAGGTTATACCTGAAGTGCTGGGCTAATAAAAACAATGTCAGCCTACAGAAAGAGATCCAAGAACCTGGTAAATAATTTATGATAAAACACCACTGCAATTCTACATAGGAGATCAGTGATGGCCTCTTTTCTCTGACCTGTTTAATAATTTCCTCGTGTTTTTTTTTTAATTGTAAAGGAAATAGTATTCACTGTAGGTAATTTGGAGACTATAAAAAGCCACAAAAAAGAAAATGAAAATCACTCGTAATTCTATCACCTGAGGATGAACACTGTTAACACTTGATATCTGTTTCTCCAGTCTGCTTTTCTAACATATCTGTATTTATATTTTATTAGATGTAAATTGAAATTACAAAATACATGATGTTTGCAACCTGTGTTTTTCTTTTAATGCGTTGTATTTCCCGAATCTTTAAGTATTCTTCAAAAACATAATTTTAACACCCTCCACAGTACTCACTCACTATTATAAAAGGTAGTGTGATTAGCATTCTTACCCATAAATCTTCCCTCGGTATCTCTGCATGTTTCCTTAGGCCAGCAGAAATTATTTTGTTCTTGTTTCCTTTCTTATTGTCTGACTCTCTGCACTCTCATGACAGCTCTTTAGAAATAAGGACTTGTCACTCTGTTGCTCAGACAAGGCAACATAGTAGATGCTGGATTAACACTGGGTGAGTCAAGCCCATCTTAGTCATGGGAATTTAGCCGATTCTTTCCAGAAGTGGAATTCTCAGCTCACAACGTGTGCATTTGCCTGGCTCAGTTGCCTACCTGAAATGCTGTGGGAGTCCCCACTCTCACTGATCTGGATGGAAGTGCCCACCTCTGTGGACACTTGCTAACGCATATGTCTTTTGGTCTGTAAACCTCTCAGTGAAAAAATGATATTTTATTTCAATTGCTAGTAATCATGTGTTTGTTGGCCCTTTAATTCTTTAATTAAAGTGGTTTTCCTGTTGCTTGCAAAATATTACTCTTTTGTCTGTCTTGCACTAGAAAAATCTTTTTTTTTCCATTTTGTCATTTTCTTTTTAATACTGTAATTTTTTTTTGGATACATAAAAATTTAAAATCTTACCGATCCACTTGATCAATCTTTTCCTTGGATGTTTTGGCTTTTGTTTCTGTGTTTATAAAGGCTAGGCCCCAAGAACAAACAGAAATTAGTCCCTTTTCTTTCTTGTTCCTTTATGATTCCTTACATCTAGATTTTTAATTCATCTGGAATTTTTTTTTGATACCTTGTATTGATCTTGCTTTTTTTTCCCCTGTGCTAGCCAGTTGTTTCTATAGCATATACCAAATAGCCCATTCTTTCCCTCATTTTTCAAATGCTACCTGTATCAATTGCTAAAATCTCATATACTCTCAAATTTATTTCTGAGCTTTCTGTTTTGTTCCATTTATCTGACTACTTTTGTACCAGCACCAAACCATTATATTGTATTTCTACACCTAATAGTGCAAACGGACTGTCATTATTCTTCCTCTTCAAAGTGTTCTTGGCTGTTTTTACCAATTTATTTTTCTAGGTCAGAGGTCAGCAAACTTTCTGAAAAGAGCCAGATAGTAAATGCTGGGGGCTCTGCAGGCCATTGTCACTGCTACTCAGCTGTGCTTCTGTAGTACAAAGTAGAAATAGACAGTAATAAACAAGGCTGTGTTCCAGCGAAACTCATTTATAAAACAGGCTGTGGGGTGATTTGTCCTGAAGGCCTTAGTTTCCCAGCCCCTGTTCAAGATGAATTTTTGAGTCATTGTGTCAAATCTTTCCATATTCTTACCTCCCTCACATATACACAAATAACATTTGTGTGTGAGTATATGTGTGTATGTGTATACATACTAATAAATACTTTTTGTGTATATATTACATTATATATATGGAAGGAAAGAGGAATTTGGTTAATATGACATCATACTTAATGATGTGGGAGAAATGTGACATCTTGATAAAATAGGGTCTTTCCCTTGGACAGCATCAAGCATTCCTTTATGTCCAGCACCAAAATTGTATGGTTTCTTTCACAGAGGTCCTGCCAATTTCTGGTTAACTTTAATCTTTGCGTTGTTTTTCATTGTAGTTGAAACTGTGACTGGGATCTGTGTTGGGGATCCCACGGCCCCCCACCTGTTCCATGATTCGCTAGAAGGATCACAGGACTCCAAGGCAGTTGCATTCAAGGCTCAGTAAGGGGAAAGACCCATCAAGCGGGTGGGAGGAATCTGTGCACAGACAGGCTCCCCATTGGCTGCCTCCCAGCAGGAGGGCTCACCCAGGTCCTTCCTCCCCCTACCACCCCCTCAAACTCAACACCATAATTCTCCTGTCTCCACTTCTAGCTTTCATCATACTTCCAGATAATTTCCTTTCAGGTATGCAGAATGTACTTTGCATTCACTGGGAGAACGTGATGCAGTACAGGGTGGCTTGCAGAGGGCAGGCTCACTGCACTGACCTGGGTCCCAGAATTAAATCCCATAGGCTGAAGCCTTCCTTGGGAATGGTTTCTCTCCCCTGCTTCTTTATGGAAACTCTTCTCTGTAGTGAATCATCAGAAGTGTTCATCTCATTCAGCTCATTCCAATCAAAGAAACTGCTTTGTTGCAGTGTGAAGAATCTTGGAAAGCCTACAGATGGTAAATCTCAAGCCCTTCTTAAGACAGGCTTAACATAACCTGTTGGAAGAGGCTGGGTCTCTTTGTAGTTTGGCCCTGCTTTTACCAAAAAGGCTAAAGGAAACAAAGCTGCTTCTGCAGGTGGGGTTCAGCAATCTGTTTCCACACACCCCACCTTGGCTGGCCCAGGAGTACCCACACTCCATGCTGATTCTGTAACCTTCTCACCCTCTCTCAATTACCGTTTTTTTCTCCAGGGCTCTGGCCTCCTAGAGGCTAAGGGGCGGCTGGAATTTTAATTGTTTCATAACCCCGAAATTCATCCGGTAAATGGCACTCCCTGGCCTTCTGTGAGTGAGGCACTTTGAATGTAAATAGAACTGAATTCATTACCTTAGGTCTGACCCTGATGTAAGTGACTTGCGTGGGAGCCTCCTTCCCAGGCTGTTTGGGCAGGGGGGGTTGCAGCAAAGTAATGTGCAGAGAGGCTCTGAGCCCCCTTGAGATGAACTCCCAGAGGATCCAAGGTTCCAGGTCTGTGCCTGGTGCCTCATGTAGGGCAAGGCTGCGGAGGGGAGGGGGCAGCTGTCAGGGAGAACCCCTTCCCTCTCACAGGCTTGCTGGGGTCTGAATGAGAGCCGGCAAGTCTTAAACTTTCCAAACTGCCTTCTCCTGGCTTATCTCAGGATTCCGTTCATCTTTTCAGGTTTCACATACTTTTGTCTTCCCCCTAGGATGCTTCTCGATCTGCTGGCCAGTTCTTTCAGTCTTCATAGCTTACTTTAGCAGGGACTGTCTTGGCTCCCTGCTATTCCATTTCAGACATCCCTGGCCCTTTTATTTATATTCATGTTTGTATTTCAGACACATTTCTTGCTGATAGGAGGCAGAGGTGCACTGCACCGTATGTAAAACTAGGCAGGGACCCAGCCCACTGAAGGGACACAGCCACAGCCAGCTCACATGAATAACTTATGGACTTACAAGAACTTGAAGATGTAGGTTTAGTCATGAATTGAAGGGGGCTGCATTGCAACCTGGATTAGGTTTTCTCCATAAACACAGGCCACCCTTCTCTCCCTTCCTACCACTGTGTTATCTGGTCATTTACCCATAGGCACTCAGGAAGCACCAATTAATTTTGATATTTGCCCCCCAAAACCGTAATTATTATGGAAGGTAAAGCAGCTCCAGAAATATTACATATCTGTTTTCAAAACTTTCTACCATCTTCCCCCCACTATTATCCACAATTATCCAAACCACCCTCCCTTCTCATTAAACTGAATAATTGAGGAATACTCCAAATACAATCATGAGGGTTCAGAGGCCTAGCCAAGCCTATTCAACAGCATTTAAACATTGACTCTAAGTGGTTCCTTGATTCCAGTGGAAAAAAAAAAGTGCCTCTGTCCATTGTGTGTATCCCCTACCAGTGGGGATGGTGTGAGCCTGGTGCCTGCATGTGACCCCTCTGTAACAGAATGTCCCTTGGATCTATTTCAGAGTTCCCTGAAAAGAAGAGGCAGCCGGGAAACGTACAAAGAAAAGAAAACCCTTAACCAGGTAAGCAGAGGGATCCTTCTCATGTTACAGCTCCTCAAGGGGCAATCACCTCATTCTGAATTGTCTCAAAAGCATTAGCATTGCCTTTAAAATATTCAAAGAAACATTACTTGCCAAAAAATGGGGACTCACTCAAAACCTCCACGGGGTGAAAACGTTCACTCTAAACCACCAGCTCCTCTGTTTTGTTTCTCACACTGATGAGCTGGTGACGTCTTCAAGAAAGACAAGAACAAACGGACTCTGTGAAACATAATTTGGTGCAATTCAGGGCTCTCTGGTAGTACTCACAACTGGTGAAACGTATTCTGGCCTTCAAAGTCATTCACACAGTAAAATAATACAGCTACTGTGGTGTTGGGTCATTCATAAGGCATTGTTTTCAGTGTTGGGTTGTTTTTTGGGGGTTTTTGTTTTTGTTTTTGTTTTAATGTGCAAGCTGAACAGTATCCCCAACTGTCCTAATTGAACGTGCAGTGTTCTCTCCGGGGGATGGTAAAAGCATCAGCCTTTCCGTGTACACAGTTTGTGTTCTGCAGAAATGCCTGAGCTATTCTGAACACTTGCTTTACTAGATTCCTTACTTTTTTTTTTTTGGAAAAAAAATGAATGCTGCTGGTATTAGGTATCAGAGAGAACAAAGGCAGGAGTGGGTGTCAGCTCCCCGAGCTCTCAGAGCAAGTAGTAATTAGAGAGGCGCAATAAGTCCGGGTAACAAGAGCTTCACCGGCCTGCCCTGTGAACTCCACCCTCGATCTGCTTTGTTGTGCCCTTAGCCAAACTCACTGATGCCCGGAATGTCCTTCAAGGAGGACTGGGCCATGGGAACAGTGGGAATGCCCAAGATTAACCTTTTTTCTCTGCCCTCGCTCCTCTCCTTATCTCATTTGGCGCCCGCTAATAACGGGGAAATAAAAAACTGCAGTCCCTGGGCTGGGGGCTTGGAACCTCCTGGGCTTCGAGGATGTCTCAGCTTCCTGACTCTTGAGCAGGGCAGATCTCCCTTAGGAGGGTAAGCACTTCCCCGTTCCGGACTGAGTGGCATGGCGCCGCGTTCACCAGGGGGTCGCTCGGGCTGAGAACGGCCGCCGCTGCCCCGGCAGGCTCTCAGAACTCCTCCGGGCACCGGGAATGTGTTACGTTCCCCCTCCACCTGCGCTATCATTGAGAAAAAGGAGTATTTTGTCCAGCAGAGTGGTGGACCCGAGCGCCTTGGAAACTGCAGGTCTGCAACCAAAACTCAAAGGAAACCGGCACCCCGGCGCAAGGTAGGAACGCGAGGAGTCAGCGCTTGGGGTGCTGGCTAGATGTCAGACTTGCAAGCCAAAGAATATATACCCAGAGCGATATATTTTTGCTGCTTGACAAGGCCTTTCCAGCTGCTGGTGGTGGTGGTGGTGGTCCCCTGTGTGTCCTCCTCTCCGTGCTGTGCTTGCCTTCTCTGCCTGTGACAGGACCCGTGTGGTGTGGAAAGTTGGGACCGTCTGCTTTCATACTGCATTCCCGGAGCTATCTGATGATCTCTTGAAACCAGAGCTTGATATCCTTCAGCTTAGGATTCAGCCCAGACCGCTCCTCTGGAATTTTGGCAGGGTTTTAGAAAGTGTGTGGTTACGAGATCAGATGGGGACCCAGCCTCCTGCTGCTCCAGCTGAGGCTGTGATTCCCCATCTTATGAGAAGGAGTGGCCCCCTGCCCCCAGAACAGGCTGAGCCTGGCTCCCTGGGCCTCCTCTCTCCCGCCCTGCCCCTCCCCTCCCCCGCTGGGCCCTGGCAGGCGCAGCGCCCAGCTCCAACCGCCTGGACCAGCGTGAGCAAGTCTGACCCTTTCGCTAAATTCACACACTCTCTTGGCTTAAAAGATTGTCTTTGGAAAACTGCTTTAACATTGGTGGCAGGTCTGGTGTCGTTCATGGGTGTTGAATAAAAACGATAGCATGCTTGAATTGCGTCAGAATTCCTGGTGTATGTGTAGTTTCTGTTTTTAAGGAACAAGAAGACTTTTTGGATACTTTATCAGTCCTCAGGTAATCTATGAATCAGACCCTCCTTAGGGTGTGTTGTAGAATCTTCTTTAACGGACTGGGGTCTAGCTAGGTTCAGGAAGAAGGAAGAGAACAGTTCTGGTTTTAGTCAGACTTGGGAGTGGTGGATGGGGGAGGGGGGTTGGAGGTTTAAAGTTTCTAGAAATCAAGGTGATGTGAGGGCTCTTTGGGATTGTCTACCCTGAGCACTTAGAGCTGAGCGTTTCAGAACCATTGGGTAAGGCCGGCGTTCTGCAGGCCACTCAGAGATCCTACCCCTTTTCTCAGTTTCTCAGTTCAACTTTTGTGGGGAGGACCCTCAGGGAAGATCACCTGAGACTCCCAGATCTTGGTCTGAGACCAAAACCTCCTGAGCTATGCAGGTAACGCTGCCCCTTCTCTGCGCATTTCCAGCCTATTCTCCCACTGACCAGGGCCTTAGGAGCTGCAGGTTTCTATGGAAGTGCGTGGGGTGGGGCATTGATCACAGCAGGTGGTCCTGCCCATTCCTGGGTCTGCCCAGGCTCCAGGTGGGCAGATGGGGGCGTTCCCTTTGGGCTGGCGACATTCTCTTCCACAAAATCAGCTGCTGTCCTCAGGCACAAAGGCGGATTCTGTGCTTCAGGGTGGAGACAGGATCATTTAGGTGATTTTGGACAAAGGACACACCGCTGGCTATGAAGTGGAATATTGGGGCTGAGGGCATGGGCTGTCTCCCATCCTAGGCTTTTCACTCCCAAATTAATCCATTTACAAAGTGTTGACAGTCTGTCTCCATTGGTATTTATGTTTGCTTATTTAAACTCCGTTCCTTCATGTGAACTGCAGAGCCCTCTCTGTATATTTGGATGCGTAGACTTCTTGCAGATCTATGTTTATCAAATAATTGAAAGGGTGCTTTTGATCTGTTCTTGAAAGTTTCAAGGAACTGGGGTCATTTATTTATTTATTTTTTAAGAGTTTTATTTATTTATTT